TACAGATGTGTCAGTGAGTACAGATGTGTCAGTGAGTACAGATGTGTTTTGAGGAGAGTTTTAAAAATAGAGACTGAGGTGGCCTGTCGAATGTTGATGGGCAGATTGTTCCAGAGTTTAGGGCCCACGACTGAGAACGTTCGATCTCCTCTGAGCTTCACTGGTTTTTGGTACGGCCAAAAGCAGCTGGTCTGACGATCTCAAGGCCCGAGAAGGAGCGTAAGGATGAAGGAGGTCAGAGAGGTCTGAGGGTGCAAGGCCGTTAACACACTTGAACATCAGCAGAAGAATCTTAACATCAACTCTGACATGCACAGGAAGCCAGTGAAGGGAGGACAGAACTGGAGTAATGTGCTCAAACCTGCCAGTTCCTGTTAGTAGCTGAGCTGCAGCATTTTGGACGAGCTGGAGACGTGAGAGAGAGACCTGACTGACCCGAGCATCAAGTGAGTTACAGTAGTCCAGCCGGGGTGTAATACATGCATGGACTAGCTTTTCAAGGTCGGATCTGGACAGGACGGACTTGAGCTTTGCTATCTGCCTCAGCTGAAAGAAGCTTTTTTGAAGAACAGAACGTATCTGTTTATTAAACTTTAAGTCCGAGTCTAAAACTCTCCTGAGATCAGTAACAAACTGTTTTAGATGAGGCTGAAGGGAGTCCAGGTTCACAGGACCAGTGACGGTGGCAGAGCTCGGGTTCAACACAATGACCTCAGTCTTCTGATCATTAAAACTCAAGACGTTCGCAGCCAAGTCTTGATGTCATCAAAACTTTTTAACAAAGAGCGAATGAGGTGGAATGAAATCGTGTACACAGGGTCCCAGTTACAGCCAACCATAGTAAAATATAAAATATAAAATATGAAAGAAACAGTAAATAATAAATTATAAGCTAAACACTAATAATATAAACATTATTGAACATTGTTGGACTTTGCTGGATGATTTTGGATGTTTGTGGACATTGTTGGATGTTGTTGGATGTTCCTTTCCAACACTTCCTGTTTCATGAGTCTCTCATGAACCAACACGTGAGGACAGTGTTTGTCCCTGACTGACTTTTGACCTCTTATGTCCAACAAGCAGAAGGACGTCAACTGAATCCGTCTGTCTCTCAAGTATGTCTGTCTCTGTCTCTCAAGTATGTCTGTCTCTGTCTCT